TCTGTCCCCCTCTGTCTGTCTGGCGAGCCCCCTATAGCAAAAACCTCTAAAAAAAAAAACTTACTGGAGCCGGCAGGTGGTGTGGTGGTTAAGTGCGCTAGATTCCCATGTGGCTGATCAAGTCCTAGACCTGGCGGCTTGTGCGCACGCACTCTCTCTCACTCTGTCTCTCTCTAGACAAATTAAAGTAAATAAAGTTAAGTAAAACAGTTCTTTTAAAAAAGAATTTTTTTTTTTGAGCTGGCACGTCAAATTAAAATAAATAAATAAAAATTTTGAAAAGAATTATTTTATTTTAACTTTATTTATTTATTTATTTATTTTAATTTGACCAGCGAGAGAAAGAGAAAGTGAGAAAACAAGCTGCCAGTTCCCAGACTTGAACTGCAATCAACCATGTGGGAGTCCAGTGCCCTTAACCACCACGCCACCTGCCAGCCCCATTATCCCCACTTTTAGAGAGAAAAGAACACCCCAGGTTGGTGGAAGGAAAGGGAGCTGTCCCAGTCCACACCCTCCCCACCCACTTAGCCCAGGAGAAGCCAGGCTCCTTGGCCCTCTGTGGGTATCAAGTACCACCAGACTCTGGGTTCTGAACAGCTTCAGCTTCACTCTGCCGGTCATGTCTAGGTGGCGACATCCTCTGCCTGCCTGGAAGGATCGTGTCTGCCCCAGGCCCTGTGCTGGTGCCTAGGCACCTGCAGACAGAGCTGGTGCTGCGTTGCCACCAGGAGAACGACTGTGACCTCTGCGTGCGTGTGACTGTCCACTTAGCCGTGCACGGTGAGTGAGGCGTCTGTGACCATGCATGCACACATGTGTATGCCTCTGGGGTGGGCATGAGGACCCGGGGACTCTGTCAGCAGCCCCGGGCATCTTAGGCTCTCCTGGAGGACACTGGCTGAAGGACCCCTGGCTCCTGCTTACTAGTGCTGGGCTCTCTAGGAGCAAGCTAAGCCCAAGGCAGCCCAGAGCAGGGGTCCTGACCTGGGTCTTGCCCTTGGATCCTTCCAGGGCACTGGGAAGAGCCTGAAATTGAGGAAGAGTTTGGAGGAGCTGCTGACCCAGAGCTTAGGAACGGTGAGAACAGACTGGCCTGCCTGCCCCTTGCCAGGGACTTGCCTGCCGCCCCCGGCCTGACTCTGTCCTCTTGCTCACAGCCTCGCTGCAGGCCTACATTGTGCTCGCCTTCCAGGCCTACCCCACTGCCCGCTGCGTCCTGCTGGAGGTGCTCGTGCCTGCTGCCCTCGTGCAGCCTGGTCAGCCTGTGGTAGGCAAACCGTGATACTGACGACCATCCTCACCATATCCGAGACCCACCAAACGCATTATGTCTGATAAGTACAGGTTCCAGCCAGAGCTCTGGGCACATCCTCTCAGGCCTTTATACCTCAGGTTTTCTGTCCGGGACACGAGAAAGGAAGAGTCCCGTCTCACCTGTTTGACTTGTGAGAAACCACTGAGCGGTTTCCCCTATTTTATGCTCCCATCAGCAGTTATGGAAGTTTCAGTTACTTGCCACCTTTGCCAGCATTTGGTGATGTGACTTTACATTTTAGCCATTCTGCAATGCATGTAGTGATGTATTTTTGTGGTTTTAATTTGTGCGTTCTTTTTTTTTTTTCCTTTTTTGGGAGAGGTTTTTGCTATAGGGCGTGTGCGCTCGCCAGAAAGACAGAGAGACAGAAAGCGAGAAATCACCCCCCAGGGGGGGATGGCCACACCGCAATCCCTTCTCCTCCATTCTCCTCTGGGGATCTTGGGCACACACGCACATGTGCCCGGCGTGAGTTTTAAGTCTTTGAGTCCGGGATTTGAACCACGTTCGACTACGTGGGAGTCCAGCAATAGCCATTATGCTATCTGCTGGTCCCTTAATTTGTACATTCTTGATGAGTAATGAAAATGAGCACCTTTTCATGTGTTTATTTACATAACTTCCTTTGTGAAATACTATTAAAGGGCTTTTTAAGGGAGCCAGCAGTTAGCGTAATGGCTATGTCTATGTCGCTGGACTCCCACGTAGTCGACCGCAGTTCGCGTCCTGGACCTGGTGGCTTAAAACTCAACGCCGGGTGCGTGTGCGTGCGTGCCCAAGATCCCGAGAGGAGAATGGAGGAGAAGGGATTGCGTCGTGACCATCCCCCCTGGGGGGTGATTTCTCACTTTCTGTGTCTAATGTCTCTCTCTGTCTGTCTGGCGAGCGCACGCGCCCTATAGCAAAAATCTCTCTAAAAAAAAAAAGGGCTTTTTAAAAATAATAAGCTTAGAGGCCAGCCAGCAGGTGGTGTAGTGGTTACCCAGCTGAACTGCATGGCCAGCTGCAGTTCAAGTCCCAGACCTGGTGGCTTGAAAATCATGCCAGGTGCATGTGTGTGTGTGTGTGTGTGTGTGTGTGTGCCCACAATACCAGGAGAATGGAGGAGAAGGGATTGTGGTGTAGCCATCCCTCCGACGGGTGATTTCTCACTTTCCCTCTCCCTTTCTCTCTCTCTTTCTTCCTGGGGAGCCCATGAACCTTATGGCAAAAACCTTTTAAAAAATTTAATTTTAAAAAACAATTATTTTATTTAACTTTAATTATTTATTCATTTATTTATTTTTAATTTGGCCAGAGAGGGACAGAGTAAGAGAGAGAGAGAGAGAGAGAGAAAGCTGCCAGGTCCAAGACTCGAACCATGGTCGGACATATGGGAGTTCATTGCCCCAACCAGCATGACACTGGCCGGCCCCACATTGAACTTTATTTATGATAGTGTGCATGCACAAGAGAGAGAGAGAAACACCCTTGACAGGGTCCCATCGAGCTGCAGTTCCCCTTCCCTGTCTCTCCTGCTCATCAAGATTGCATGCATACCCTGCATATTTCCAAGCCAGCCTGGTGATCCAAACCCACAGAGGCCATATGGCCTCCAGCACCACAGTTCAGTTTACTACTGATTGTGTCACCAGGCTGGACCCTGTTAGTTTTTTGACCACTTAGAAAAAAGGGAATAGTTTTATCTCATATAGTTGTTGTGAGAATCAAGTAAGTTGATATATGTAAAACACTTGCAGTAATGCCCAGCCCTAAAAAGTCTCAGTAAGTTTAATTTTTCTTCTTCTTTTTTTTTACCCCCAGTATGCTCTAGGGTACTTGTGCTTGCCAGAGAAAGAGTAAGAAAGCAGCCCCCTAGGAGGATGACCATGCCACAGTTCCTTTTCCTCTATTCTCCTCTTTAGATTTTGGGCATGCACACACAGACACCTGGTGTGTTTTTCAAACTTCTGGGTCCAGCACTTAAAGTTTTGCATTGACCTTGTGGGATCCAGCCCCCTTACCCACCATGCCACCTGGCTGGCGCATTAATATTTCCTTTTGTACAGTAATCCTCAAAACTACCCAATCAGCTAGGCATTATTTTCTTTCTTTCTTCCTTTTTTTTTTTTTGGAGGTTTTTGCTATAGGGTGCATGCACTTACCAGAGAGACAGAAAGCTAGAAATCACTCCCCAGGGGGGATGGCCATGCCATAATCCCTTCTCCTCTATGCTCCTCTTGGGATCTTGGGCATGCACGCCCATGCAACCGATGCGAGTTTAAGCCACCGGGTCCGGGACTCAAACCGTGGTGGCTTATATGGGAGTCGAGCATTTTAGCCATTACGCCATCTGCTGGTCCCTAGGCATTATTATTTTTTTAAAGAATTGTTTATTTTATTTATTATTACTATGTTTATTATTTTAAATTTGACCAGACAGAGACAGAGAGAAAGTGAGAAAGCAAGCCACCAGGTCCTGGACCCAAACCATGGTTAGCCATGTGGGAATCCAGCATCTTAACTACCACACCACCTGTCAACCCCCACTAGGCGTTATTATTATTATTATTATTTTTAAATAGGTCGACCAAATTAACTACTTTAAATTCTGGTTTTTTTTTTAATTATTTTATTCAATTTTATTTATTCATTTTAATTTGACCAGAGAGACAGAGAGAAAGTGAGAAAGCAAGCCACCAGGTCCGGGACTCAAACCATGGTAGCCATGTGGGAGTGTCCAGCGCCCTAACCACCACGCCACTTGCCGGTTCCAGCATTATTTTAATCCTCATTTTTCAGATAGGAAAACTGAAGCTAGGAGAGGGGCTGTCTGTGAGCTGGATGCCCTTCTCTGGACTCTTAGACTAATTCATGCTCCTCCTGCTACACACAGGTGTAAGCACCATGGTGTGGGAGCTTCTCCCTGTCTTAGGATGCTGGCAGGTTTACCTCCAAAGGGGTCAGGTCACTCAACCCTTTGACTTCCCCTCCAGTGTCGGCCCCTAGCCCATATCCTCTTCTCTGGAAAATTGTAGACTGGAGGAACTTCTTTATTTTTTTTTCTGGAGAGGTTTTTGCTATAGGGCGTGTGCGCTCACCAGACAGACAGAGAGAGACATAGAGACAGGCAGACAGAAAGCGAGAAATCACCCCCAGGGGGGATGGCCACGCCGCAATCCCTTCTCCTCCCTTCTCCTCTCGGGATCTTGGGCACACACGCACATGCACCCGGCGTGAGTTTTAAGCCACCGGGTCCGGGACGCGAACTGTGGTCAACTAGGTGGGAGTCCAGTGACATAGCCATTATGCCAATTGCTGGTCCCGACTGGAGGAACTTCTGCTTGGCCCTCCTCACAAGGGAATTGTGAGGAGCTTTGAGGCACTAGGTATGGGACTGCTTCTGTAGGGAGGGACCCACATTTGTGTTGGGGTGTCTCACCACCTTAGCTTTGCCCGGGTGATCCAGGACAGCAGGGTGGGGGCAAGGATACAAATAGCCAGGACCCCTCCTGACACCCCCACCAAGGGTGTTGTCTTTAGAATTGGGTACCCTTGGCACCAGCAGGTGGCGTGGTGGTCAAGGTACTCGACTCCCACATGGCCAACTGCGCTTGAGTCCTGGACCTGGCGGTTTGCTTTCTCACTTTCTCTCTCTCTCTCTGGTCAGATTTAAAAATAATAATAATAATAAATAAAATAAAAATAATTCTTAAAAAAATCATTGGGAACCCTTAGGGAAAACTTTAGTGAGTGGTTTCAAGCTGCCCAGTGTAAGAATAGTCACTGTCTGAGGAAGGAGGGTGGTGAGCAGACTGGTTCACGCAGAGGAGCCCACAGCCCTTGGTCTGGACTCTGGATCCTGTGCCACCAGCCTTCCCCACTCCCTCCTTGCAGGGCTCTGTGGTCTTTGACTGCTTTGAGGCTGCCGTGGGAGGAGAAGTGCAGATCTGGTCCTACACTCAGCCCAGGTACCAAACAGAACTCAACCTCACACAGCAGCTGCCTGGTAAGTGACTCCAGAGCCTCAGGAGCCCCAAGTCCTGGCCCCCCTACTACCTGCCCCTCTGTCCACGCCCCTCCGCCTTCACCCTCTTCCCAGTCCCTGTCTACTCTCAGGCAGGAGTCTGAGCTCACATCCTCCCTAGAATCAGTCCGTCAGGGCTTCTTTTCCCCGGGTAGCATGGATTTCCAGTCCCCAGAGAGGGTGCTTTGAACCCTGGGTAGATGTGGGTGGTACTGAGGGGACAGAGACCCCTTCCCAGTGCCCCTCACGGGTGGGATTGCCCCTGTTCTTTCCGTGGCTCCCAGCCCCACTGGAGGCTTTTCTGTGATCTCTCCCCAGACTGCAGGGGGCTGGAAGTCCAGGACAGCATCCAGAGCTGCTGGGGTAGGGGATAGGGCCAGCGGGCGGGGAGGAGGGAGGGCAAGGTCTGGAGAGTGAGGGACCTTGGAATCAGCTTCAGATCCGGGCTGCCTCATCCCAGAGCTCACAGAACACGTTAATGCATTCATAGCTCCATAACACAGGGACCGCAGTGCCTGCTACTCGGCGCCAGGCACCGGGAATGTAGAGACAAATCTCTCTCACACTCCTGTTACACACATCTCTTAGTACTAGGGACATCTAGAGGCCCAAAGCATCGTTGGGATTATGATGTCCCCTCCAGATATCAAGGTAAAAATAACATTAAGTCCAGAACAAAGACTAGGAAAGTTTAAGTTCTGACTTCCCCATACTCACTATTTAGATTTAATTTTATTTTTTTAAAATTTTTTGAGAGGTTTTTCTTTGTGCTATAGGGCGCATGCGCTCGCCAGACAGACAGAGAGAGACAGAGAGACAAAAAGCGAGAAATCAAGACGGTCACACTGTAATCCCTTCTCCTCCGTTCTCCTCTTGAGATCTTGGGCACACACGCACGCACACGCGCCCGGCGTGAGTTTTAAGCCACCGGGTCCGGGACGCGAACTGCGGTCAACTATGTGGGAGCCCAGCGACATAGCCATTATGCTAACTGCTGGTCCCAGTGCAGATGTTTTCTGAACTATTTAGTTTTTTCACCTTCACTCTCTTTTGGTCCTTAAACTTGGCCTGCTTCTTTGGCAATTTATTAAAAACTACTCAACACCAGAGCTTTGAAAACACAGATACGCATCATGCATTTCATTTCTTTATTTGTTCAGTAGATACCCGCTCATTTCTTCAGACATGCTTATCGAGTAGTGAGTCTGTGCCAGGCATAGCCCTACCATCGGCGATAAATCAGTGCACAGAACTGACAAAATCCTCTGCTCTCACGGAGCTGGGAGTCAGGGTCTGGGTGGGAGTGAGGGGGTCTTAGTAAACACAGGGAGCTGTGCAGTGTGCAATACATTAGATGGTGAGTGGGGCTGTGGGGACATTGGGGGGAAGAAAAATAACAAGGTCTGGAGGTGCGATGATCAGAGTTGACCTCACTCCAGTGACCAAAGGTCTGAAGGAGGTGAGGGAGGAGCCACATGAGTGCCTGAGGGGAGAACGGTTCTGGGCAGAGGGAGAAGAGCTGGGGTGGGAGTTTGTTGGGTGTGTTTAAGTGATGGCAAGGAGGCCAGTGTGTCTGCAGTGAGTAACTAAGGACGTAAGTCCTAGGGGATGAGGTTGGGCAGCTACATTGGGTAGGGCCTTGCAAGCCCTTATAAGGACTCCAGCTGTTACTGGGAGTAACATGGGTCTGAGCAAGGGAGAGTGATTTGGCTGCAGAGGAGTGGAGCTAGTTGTCCCAAGAGCCTCCATGAGGTCAGTCCTAGGGCAGCTCCTGGTCTGGGACGAGGACAGAGGCTCTGCTCTCCAGGCACATCCCAGGCTAAGAGGTTTGAAGGAAGTTTGGAAGAGTCAGTTGGTGATCAAGGTCCAGGCTTGGGTGTGCAGAGGAGTTGGAGGGAGGATACCTAAGCAGTCCTCTCTCTGGCTCCCCGTGCAGCCCTGCCCTGGCTCAATGTGTCGGCAGATGGTGACTACGTGCACCTGGTACTGGACATCTCTGAGAAGCAGCACTTCAGCCTCTCGCTGTACTGGAATCAGGTCCAGGGTTCCCCCAAACCCTGGTGGCACAAAAACCTGGTAAGGCCTCTCTGTTCTCAAGCCCACTCCCACTCCACACTAATGCCCATGCTAAAGATGCACACGTGTCACCAAAGGGGACCCTTGAGGACACACCCAAACCCAGAGAGCACCGGTGGCGGAACTTCTGCCTGCCTGGTCTCCTCGACTACAGCCTCCCCCCGCCCTCGCCTTTATCTTCTCTAACTTCTGTGCCTCTGCTTGTCCCACAGACTGGACCTCAGAACATTACTCTGAACCATACAGACCTGGTTCCCTGCCTCTGTATTCAGGTAGGAGTCCAGCCCAGTGCCACGAAGGGAACTGGGAAGACGGGGAAGGAGTGGCCCCTGCTTTCCCGTTCTCACCACTTCCTCTTTGAGGAGGAGATATGGCTCTCTGCATGCCTGGCCTCTCTTCGTTCTTGCTGTCTTACACCTTCTGCCTTTCACATGCCCAGAATGTTCTTCCTGATTCTCCAGCCTCAGGATTCCCACTTATGCTCCATGACCTTGTTTAGACGTCACCTCTTCTGGAAGCCTTCCCCTACCCCTCTAATTCTCTTCATGCTCCCCTGGAGGTCAAGCATGCGCTATGGACTCAAACTGGTTTGAATCCTGGTTGTTGAATTTGCTAGGCTATGTGACCTTGGGCAAGTCCCTTCACCTCTCTGAGCCTGCTTCCCATCTGTAGAACGGGAATATGACTGTTTTAATCCAGGCTTGTGTGCGTTCACTCTTCCCTCTCCTCTTCCTTGCACATTTAACTGGTCTTCACGTCCCATCACTGTACCTCTGATACTAATGTGTCTCATTCTCTTTCCCCTCCTCTCCATCTCAGCCCAGTCTGCCCTCCCTCATTTCTCCTGTAGGCTGTTTCCGTAACCTTTGGCCCTACTGTCCCATCCATCGCCTCCCAGGTTTTCTGGCCCCATACTCTGCCCCTATCTGAATCTCTCCGTTATAGTTCCCCCATGATTCCCCGTCGATGGCCTTTATTACATCCAGTGGAGCTACTTACCAAGACACACCCACCTCTGTGCCTTTGCTCAGGGGGCCCCACAACCTGAACTGCCCACTCTCCATTTCTGTACAACCAAATCATCCCGGCTCATCTGTCACGTCTTTCCCAAAGCCCTCCCCCAACCACCTGGCCTCTCCTAGCTCCAAATCCCCTTGCGCTTCTGCTGTCCCTACTTGTCCACTCTGCACTTCCTTTCTTATTTGGACACCTGTCAAATTTCTCCTTGCACACAAAAGAGCTTCAAGAAATACTCTGAAGTGAGTGATTGCTTTACTAATGTACTTACATACTTTATTCTTTCTTGAAAAATTATTTCGTTTAACTTTATTTACTTACTCATTTTTAATTTTGTCAGAGAGGGACACAGAGAGAGAAAGAAAGAGAGAGAGAAAGTAAGAAGGCAAGCCACCAGATCCAGGACTCAAACTGTGGCCAGCCATGTGGGAGTCCAGCGCCCTTAACCACCACACTACCTGCCAGCCCCACATACTTCATTCTTAAATAATTATGAGTTTATGATTGCTCTGAAGGGCCAGCAAATCATATATATTTCAAATGGAATAACTGTTGGAGCCTTGCACGGCGCCTGACATGGGTGCTAACTGTTGAAGGACTGGATGGATGATTCTGCCATCTAGCACAGAATGTCTGCTGTGACTTAAATATCCTCAATGTCAAGCTCAACACCTGCCACAAAGTAGGTCTTCTTCTTTAAAACTCTGATGAATAAGGGATCAGCAGTTGGCGTAATGGTTACATTGCCAGACTCCAACTATGTGGGAGTAGTAGTCAACATAGTTGACTGCAGTTCGAGTCCTGGACCTGGCACCTTAAAAGTCATCCCAGGCATGTGTGCATGTGTGCCCAAGATCCCGAGAGGAGAATGGAGGAGAAGGGATTGTGGCGTGGCCATTCCCCCTGGGGGGGAGGTATTTCTTGCTTTCTGTCTTGTCTTTCTCTGTCTCTCTGATGAGGCCCTATAGCAAAAACTTCTCTTAAAAAATGCTGATGAATAAATTTACATGTTATCTCAAGTGCTTAAAACAGGGCTAAGCATATAATAGGTGCTTTTTAAAATTTTTTGTTGTTGTTGTTTTTGTTTTTTGCCATAGGACATGTGCTCTGGCCAGAGAGAGACAAAGAGAGAAGGAAAATGAGAAATCCCTCCTTCATTCTCCTCTCAGGATTTTTTTTTTAGAGGTTTTTGCTATAGGGTGCATGTGCTCCCTGGAAAGACAGAGAGAGACAGAGAGACAGAAAATGAGAAATCCCCCCCCCAAGGAAGGATGGCCACACCACAATCCCTTCTCCTCCATTCTCCTCTCGGGATCTTGGGCACACACGCACACGCGCCCGGTGTGAGTTTAAGCCACCAGGTCCAGGACTCGAACCACAATTGACTACATGGGAGTCCAGCGACATAGCCATTACACTAACTACTGGTCCCACCTCTCAGGATTTATATAAAAAAATAATTGTTTCTTGAGCTGCTTCAAGATGAAGCTGAATATCTCCTTCCCTGCCATTGGCTGCCAGAAACTCATTGAAGTGGACGATGAATGCAAATTTTGTGCTTTTTATGAAAAGCGTATGGCCACAGAAGTTGTGCTGACGCTCTGGGTGAAGAATGCAAGGGTTATGTAGTCCAGATTAGGGGTGGAAATGACAAACAAGGTTCCCCTATGAAGCAGGGTGTCTTGACCCATGGCGGTGTCTGCCTGCTACTGAGTAAGGGACATTCCTGTCATAGACCAAGGAGAACTGGGGAAAGGAAGCGAAAATCGGTTCGGGGTTGCATTGTGGATGCCAATCTGAGTGTTCTTAACTTAGTTATTGTAAAAAAGGAGAGAAGGATTTTCCAGGACTGACTGATACCACGGAGCCTCATTGCTTGGGGCCTAAGAGAGCTATGAGATCAATCTTTCTAAAGATGATGTCTGCCAATATGTTGTAAGAAAGCTCTTAAAGGGGACCAGCAGGTGGTGTGGTGATTAGGGGTGCTGGATTCCCACATGGCCGTCCATGGTTCAAGTCCCAGAGCTGGTGGCTTGCTTTCTCTCTCTCTCTCTCTCTCTCTGTACCTCTCTGGTCAAATTGAAATAAACAAATAAATAAATAAATGAATAAAGTTAAATGAAAAACATTAAAAAAAAAATGAAAGAAAGAAAGCTCTTAAGTGAAGAAGGTGAGATTCCTAGGACCAAAGCACCTAAGATGCAGCGTCTTGTGACTCCCCGTGTCCTGCCACACATACGCCGGCGTACTGCCCTCAGGAAATGATGTACTGAAGAAAACTAAGGAAGAGGCAGCAGAATATGCTAAACTTTTGGCCAAGACAATGAAGAAGGCTAAAGAAAAATGCCAAGAACAGATTGCCAAGAGACGCAGGCTGTCCTCTCTGAGAGCTTCTACTTCTAAGTCTGAATCCAGTCAAAAATAAGATTTTATAAGAGAAAAAAACATAAATAAGATCAAATCTCAAATCTCAAAAAAATTTTTTATTTTAATTATTATTATTTGCTTACCAGAGAAAGGGAAAGTGAGAAAGCAAGCTGCCAAGTCTGGGCCTCGAACTGTGGTAAGCCATGTGGGAGTTCAGCATCTCAACCACCATGCTACCTTCTAGCTGACCATGGTTCGAGTCCTGCTCCTGGCAGCTTGAAAATCACACCAGGTGTGTGTGCATGGCCAAAATCTCAGGAGGAGACTGGAGGAGAAGAGATTAAGGGTAGCCATTTGCCCTGGGGGGATTATTTCTCACTTTCCTTCCCTCTCTCTCTCTCTCTCTCTAGTGACCACATGTGCCTTATGGCAAAACCTTACAAAAAACAAACAGAATAAATGAATGTGTCATAGTACCTGACACATAGTAAGTGCTCACAGAGTGATTGTGGAATGAATTAAAATTTATTACTGAAGGTTCCTTGTACCTATCATACCACTAAAACATATAGTGGGCTTAAAAGTTTGTTGGACAGAGACCAGCAGATGGCATAATGGTTATGTCACTGGATTCCCACATAGTCGACTGTCCTCGTCCCAGACCCAGGCTTAAAACTCGCATCAGGTGTGTATGCATGTGTGCTCAAAATCCCAAGCAGAGAATGGAAGAGAAAGAACTGTGGCATGGCTATTTCCCCGGGGGGAGGGGTGTGTGCAATTTCTTTTTTTCTGTATCTCTCTGTCCCATGAATGCATTCACCCTATGGCAAAATCTCTCTTAAACAAAACAAAACAAAACAAAACAAAACAAAAAAACCCAGCAGGTGGCATGGTGGTTAAAAGTGCTGGACTCCCACATGGTTCGAGTCCCAGACCTGGTGGCTTGATTTCTCACTTTCCCTCTCTCTCTCTCTCTCTCACTCTGCCCCTCTGTAATCAAAATAAATGAATAAATAAATAAAGTTAAATAATTATTTTAAAAAGTTTGTTGGATGAAGACATGCTTGGCATAGCGTTTGCTGGAAGACTGAATGAATTAAAGGGGGAAAATTTCGGGCAAGTGTTTGTGAAATATGTGCTTAATGAACGGGTCCCCAGTGCCTTCCAGAGGGCCTGGCACAAACTCACAGTGGGTTGACTGCACCGAACTGACATGAACAAAACCGTTTCCTTTCTAGGTGTGGCCCCTGGAGCTCGACTCGGAGAGGATGAACTTCTGCCCCTTCAGGGACGGTGAGGGACCCGCCAGGGCCTGGGCTGCGGGTGGTGTGGGTGGATGGTGCCAGTTACAGAGTGACCACCCTCTCCCTGCAGACCCCCGTGCACACCGGAACCTCTGGCGGGCAGCCAAGCTACGCCTGCTGCCCCCGCGGAGCTGGCGGCTGGACGCGCCCTGCTCACTGCTGGCGGAGGCTGCGCTGTGCTGGCAGGCACCGGATGGGGGACCTTGCCTGTCTTTGGTCCCGCCACTGCCCCGGGAGAATGTCACTGTGAATGTAAGTGAGGGGGAGGGTGGCCCTGGGGTAGGGAGAAGGGCAATCCTGGGGTCCCTTTTCTTGACCCCATCTCTTTCCACAGAAGCCTCGTGAGTTCCCGTTGCTGGAAGGTCACCCTAACCTCTGTGTCCAGGTCAGAAGGGAATGTTCTAGCGCTGGGCGGGGGCAGGACCTTACTGATGTCGACAAGTCACTGGCCTCCACATTCATTTTATTCTTGGGTCCCTAAGTCATAGTAATTATGGGCTTCTTTTCTGGGAATTCCAGTATTTATTTTAGCAGTGCAGGAACCCTAGGCAAGCCATTTTACCTCTCTGAATGTCAGTCTCCTCATCTATTCAGTGATGAAAATAACACCAACTTCTTCACAGAGCAATCGTGAAGACGAAGTAAGTGAAGTGCATCGTCTCAGGAACTGGCACAGATTAAATGCTTCGTAAATGCTACCTGCTCTTATTATTGCTATAATATTGTCATTATCCTATTTTCCCACCTGTAGAATAGGCTGCTCTGCATCCTTTGGGGAGATTACAAAAACATCCATTCGTTCAAGATTTATGGAGCACCTGCTATGTGTCAGGCATAGTTTTAGGCACTCATCAGTGAACAAAACCAATATATGTCCCCCACCCTCATAGAGACTATGTTCTAATGGAGAAAGGCAGACAATGGTTGTGGTAAGTTATACAGTATGTTAAACTGCTGGACTCCCACATAGCTGATTGCAGTTTGAGTCCTGATGGCTTGGAACTCATGCCAGGCATGTGTGTGTGCATACCCAAAATCCTGAGAGGAGAAGAGATTGTGGCATGGTCATCCTCTCCCTTGGGGCAGGGGGTGCGATTTCTCACTTTCCCTCTCTGTCTGGTGAGTACATGCACCCTATGCCAAAAACCTAAAACAAAAATGGCATACAAACACTATGGGGAAAGGTAGAGGCATAAGCGAGGATTAGGACTACAATTGTTTTTTTGTTTTTGTTTTTTATTTTTTGAGAGGTTTTTGCTATAGGGCGTGTGCGCTCGCCAGACAGAGAGAGAGACAGAGAGAAAAAAGCGAGAAATCACCCCCCAGGGGGGATGGTCACGCCACAATCCCTTCTCCTCCATTCTCCTCTCGGGATCTTGGACATGCACGCACACGCGCCCGGCGTGAGTTTTAAGCCACCGGGTCCGGGACGCGAACCGCAGTCGACTACGTGGGAGTCCAGCGACATAGCTATTACGCACAGTTTTAAGTAGTGGTCAGGTGAGAATCTTCTCTTTGAGAAGGTGGTTGGATGAGAAGAGAAGGTCTCCAGTGCTTTGTAAGACATGAAAAGAGCCTTCAGGTTATAAGGCTCTTTAACACATGAGGCTGAGGCTGAGAAACATGGGTGGCTTCAGTGATATAGCCTTGAACTCAGAGCTGCCCAAGGTGAGGTCTAGAGTGCAGAACCCCAACCCCACAGGGTTTCTCTTGCCTGTCCCTTCTCTTTTGGTCTTGGCTCTTGCTTTTATTTATTTATTTATTTATTTATTTATTTTTAGAGAGAAAGAGATTTTTGCTATAGAGCATATGTGCTTGCCAGAGAGACAGAGAGAAACAGAGAGACAGAAAGCAAGAAATCCCCACCCCCAGGGAGGATAGCATGCCACAATTCCTTCTCCTCCATTCTCCTCTCAGGATCTTGGACACACATGCACACCTGCCTGGCGTGAGTTTTGAGTTGCCAGATCTGGGATTCGAAACAGTTGACCATGTAGGAGTCTAGTGACATAACCATTATGCCATCTGTTGGTCCCTTGGCTCTTTCTTTTCTTCCTTTTTTTTTGAAGAGGCTTTTTGCTATAGGGCATATGTGCTCGCCAGAAAGACAGAGACAGAGAGACAGAAAGTGAGAAATCACCCCCCAGGGGGGATGGCCACACCGCAATCCCTTCTCCTCTATTCTCCTCTCGGGATCTTGGGCATGCACGTACATGCACCCGGCGTGAGTTTAAGCCGCCGAGTCTGGGGCCCGAACCGCGGTCAACTACATGGGAGTCCAGCGACATAGCCATTACGCCATCAGCTGGTCCCACTTTTTTTTTTTTTTTAAGAGAGGATTTTTGTTGTAGGGTGCGTATTTTTCCCAGGGGGAGAGAGAGACAGAGAGAGAGACAGAGAGAGAGACAGAGAGACAGAAAGTGAGAAATCACCCCCTGGGGGGATGGCCATGCCACAATCCCTTCTCCTCCATTCTCCTCTTGGGATTTTGGGCATGTATGCACATGTGCCTGGCATGAGTTTTAAGCTGCAGGGTCCAGGACTCAAACCATGGTCAACTACTTGGGAGCCCAGCAATGTATCCATTATGCCATCTGCTGGTCTCACTCTTGCTTTTCCTAATATCCCTGACTCTGTCCTCTTCCAAGCAGGTGAGCAGCTGGGAGAAGTTGCAGCTGCAAGAGTGCTTGTGGGCAGGTGAGTGGGGCCTGGGGCCAGCTAGGACAGGGCCGCTGCAGCAGGGGTGAATCCTGGAGGGGCCAGTTTCTGGGGTCAAAGGTCAAGGCACAGGGTGTGGGATGGCAAGTGGCAACCCCCAAGAACACTGGCTCTTGCTCAGAGCAGTCTCTCACTC